GTTTTAAGATCACCTGAGTTTAATATCTCCAGTCAACCCATGTATTTCAGTTCTACCATTAACACAAAAAAGACAAACAGAAGTTTTAAGATCACCTGAGTTTAATATCTCCAGTCAACCCATGTATTTCAGTTCTGCCATTAACACAAAAAAGATAAACAGAAGTTTTAAGATCACCTAAGTTTAATATCTCCAGTCAACCCATGTATTTCAGTTCTACCATTAACACAAAAAAGACAAACAGAAGTTTTGAGATCACCTATGTTTAATATCTCCAGTCAACCCATGTATTTCAGTTCTACCATTAACACAAAAAAAGACAAACAGAAGTTTTGAGTTCACCTAAGTTTAATATCTAACGGTAAAAAATATGTTTATATGTGTCAGTTTGCTCCTGATAATCCAAAAACACATCCAACATAAAAACATTTTAAGTCTTGAGGCCTTACTTCCTTGATACGCTAGGAGATAAAGGCATAACAGTATGCTGGTGTAGTGTAAGAGGTGTACAGAGAATTGAGTGCATTATGTTAAAACAATGAAACTTAGTTGAAGAAACAAGAACTGAACGGAAAACATTAACGGAATCTTATGAAGCTTAGAAACTGGTCACATGTATTGAATGTAAGACTGAAAAGAGACAAGAAAGTAAGATGGACTTATATAGGAGCAAGAAGTACCTTGGTGGTAAGTAAGATGGACTTGTATAGGAGCAAGAAGTACCTTGGTGGTAAGTAAGATGGACTTGTATAGGAGCAAGAAGTACCTTGGTGGTAAGTAAGATGGACTTGTATAGGAGCAAGAAGTACCTTGGTGGTAAGTAAGATGGACTTGTATAGGAGCAAGAAGTACCTTGGTGGTAAGTAAGATGGACTTATATAGGAGCAAGAAGTGGTGGATTGTATAATAGAAAAACTAGAGCAAGGATCAGTGAACAAAGGTAGAAAACAAAACAGAATCAGATCATATGTCAGTTACAGTACGGATTAAAGTAGAAGTGGACAGAGAAGGAAAAATGATAGATTATACAACTTTAAGTTGGAGAGAGGATAAATAAAAATATTTTTGTAAGAAGTGAAAGGGCTGTAGAGAGAACTAGATGAGCATAGAAGATCGGGAGGAATTACATGTCAAAAATGATACCAGATAAGAAGGGTAAAAGAAAAATTGAATCAAGAATGAGAGACGGGAAGCTCATGACAAGGATGGCGAAGCAGAATAAAAGAGAAGAATATATTCAAAGAAGAAAGGGGGTCACATTTATTATATCAAATAAATAAAGATGTAAAGGGAAGAACAATTTGGTAGAAAATAGTAAATCAACTAAGGAGTTCTAGAAAGCATTAATCAGAATTCAAAAAGAATTAATTAGAAAAAAAAACTAAAGAAAGTTAAAGCCAATAAGGCATTCAAAGAAATGATGGAGATATTTAACCATAGAATTTTTTAATATCAGTATTCAAGCAGATCTCCTTATTTAACTTCATGAAGAATTAAAATACGTCTTGTTGGAATCTCAATTAATCTGAAATTTAAGCAAATTACTCGTTACTATATACTTGAAATAAATGAATCTTCAGTAAATTGTTTGGTTAGGCTTAGAAACTTTTGAAACTACAGAGTTGCTAAAAATTCAATATTATGTGTTTGTTCAACATCTTTTTATTCTTTGATAAGCATGTAAATCATCTATCAGTGCCAGAAGAAGTCATCAAATAAACCAGTCCTGCTAAATCTATAAAAGATTTACTTCTCTTTCTCTCCAGATCCTATCCTCTTGGCTTCTGTATTGATTCCTTTTTTTGTTTCCCCCATCTGCAAACTTTATAAGAAGTGGAACATTTGAGCCTGGGAAGAAATTAACTGATTAACATATATTCTACTTAAACTTCCCATTATTACATTAGGTACATCTTACTATAAAATAACAGCAAGTGTCTTTGATATACCAAAACCACCCCTACATTTATGATAAATTATTTAAGTTTTTTGAAAAGAAAATATATTTTGATGTTATACCACTCATATCAGGCACTAATAAATAATGTAGAGATTTATATTTATTATAACGTATGAAATCAGTAAGGCATTTGTATATTAACTGTATCAAACACAGAATTTTAGCTACCTCCAACCTCGAGGACATGCAATTTTTATATCTACCAATCCATCATATAGATGTAAACTTAGTATTACTAAACACATATTCAAATTTAATTTAATTTTTATTCACTTTCGGACTTTATTTGTTTAATCAATGCATCTCACTTCTATATCTATACGCAGAACTTTAACAAATTTGTTTAAAAAAAGAATTGCTTAAGATTGGATGATACCTCTACTTTATAAACGTCTTCCCTGGAGTTTTTGTTTTGAATATTCCTTCTAATCTGAATACAGATCCAACTTATACTTACAGGCAGTCTACAATCTCCAGTGTAGCAATTCAAAATAACGTAATACTCCAAACAAACTTGCATTTTTTTACTGAAAAGCAACGAGTACTTTTCTCTATTAAGAATTGTACTACATAATATATATTATGTCTTATACAGATTTTAATAATATATATTGGTACAAGAAAAATAACTTGCTGGTCTCTGACTCAAAAAAGAAATATTTTTTTTTACTATTATGAAATGCAGCTCTTATAATAATCCTTCAGTTTTAAAACATAGATAAGTTCATATTTACCAGCTATATATTTGCCATTCAAGTTCCGAATTATAACTTCACATATTTCCTTTGACTCCAGCCTGTATCAAAGGAATACATTTGATAGATATAACTTCTGGTTCAAAAAGATTTAATTATAGTACATTCCAAGTTAATAAAAACCATGAGTTATAATCATGAAATGTATAATACGAAATGTTCTGAAGCTAGCTTGACAAAATATAGTAAAAAAATGAAACTGAAAAACATTAAGTTACTTTACACATAAAATGTTTGAATTTAGTGTTTTAGAGGAATTAATTACAAACCTAACAAAATTACTCTTAAAAATATAACCATTTACTGTAACTTCCAGAAAAGTACCTTACCTTTTATTTTACGATAACATTTTTTATTCAAAACCCATATAAATGCTTTAATGTGTGTACAACAGAGGTTGTATTATGGTTTAAACACATGTGTAACCAAATATTCTGTACATGTTCTGTTAGGTTAGTAGTGACAAAAAAAAAGTGTGTACACAGGCTGCCCACAGTTTTGGCTAGCCAATATCTGGTAATGCCAATCCTCAGTTGACTCTCGAGATAGACATACAGGATCAAACTCAATCAATAAAACACTAGAAACTCTTCGGCTACTCTTTTACCAATGAATAATGGGATTGACCATCACATTATAATGCCCCAATGGTTGAAAGGGCGACAATGTTTGGTGGGACGGGGATTAAAACCTGTGACCCTCAGATTGCAAGTCAAGCTCCCTAACCACCTGGCCATGCCGGGCCATGTGAAACAACAACAACAAAGAGCATACATGGCACATATGATGACCCAATGTTTGGGTAACATGTGCACAATTTTGCATTAACATGATCTCTGTACAGGTAATAATTATTATCATGAAATATTTTTGTGACAGTTATAACATTTTTCAGTGTTCTAAATAACAAATAAGAAACAGTTCAACTTTTTATTCAACCCTGGATCTTGAAATTGAAACTTCAACATCTCTTCATCTAGAAGTATCTCTCTAAACTTACTAATATGTAGACGTACATTACACTGTCAGTATTATTCCTCTCTTATAATGCTTTACCCATCTAATATGCTTCCAATTCACTGAGTACAAAAAGTTAATAACAAGTCAGTTTTCTAACAAACTTCCAAGTAGCTCTGTAGTAAACTGAAAGTCAATTTTTAAATACTCTTCCAAGTCTTTGAATGTCTCTACAGTAAGTCACAAGTCAATTTCTAAATACTACTCCAAGTCTTTGAATGTCTCTACAGTAAGTCACAAGTCAATTTCTAAATACTACTCCAAGTCTTTGAATGTCTCTACAGTAAGTCACAAGTCAATTTCTAAATACTGCTCCAAGTCTTTGATGGCCATGGAACTAAATTACAATGAATCTTCTAACACACTTCTAAGTGCTATTGTTCTAAATTAAGTACAATACAATATATTTCATAATGGATATTAAACATTACACAACAACTTCATTAAAAACAAATCCCTATAAAACCATTCACATCTTAAATCAGATCATTTTAGGTAGCATTTAAAATGTACAGATTCGAATGTTGATTCCTACAGAACAAGTTTTCCACATAAGTTAGCATTTAAAATGTACAGATTCGAATGTTGATTCCTAAAGAACAAGTTTTTCCACATAAATTAGCATTTAAAATGTACAGATTCGAATGTTGATTCCTACAGAACAAGTTTTCCACATAAGTTAGCATTTAAAATGTACAGATTCAAATGTTGATTCCTACAGAACAAGTTTTTCCACATAAATTAGCATTTAAAATGTACAGATTCAAATGTTGATTCCTACAGAACAATTTTTCCACATAAATTACAATTTAAAATGTACAAGATTCGAATGTTGATTCTTACAGAACAAGTTTTCCACATAAATTACAATTTAAAATGTACAGATTCGAATGTTGATTCCTACAGAACAAGTTTTTCCACATAAATTAGCATTTAAAATGTACAGATTCGAATGTTGATTCCTACAGAACAAGTTTTCCACATAAATTAGCATTTAAAATGTACAGATTCGAATGTTGATTCCTACAGAACAATTTTTACACATACTTTAAATTCGTTGTAGAATGGCCTGAAATATGAAAGAGGTAAATACAAAGAGCTGATCACACACCTTGCAAAACCAATCCCCCTTGAACACACATAGCTATCTCGAAGGATCCTGGTGGAGATTACCAATCCGTAGGGTGCAAGCAGCTTTTCTAGATCACCCTCCATCATACTTTTGGGTAAATTGGTTATGTACAGGTTGGTTGGATCTTGTTCTTGTTGCTAGGTGATTAAAATACTCAACATTAGAAAGAAGAATTATGAACAATTCTTTATTTTTTAAGCATTTTTCTACAATTATAGAGAAATATGGTGTGTCAAAGAAAAAAAAAATTCTATTGTGATATCATATTTCCATGTTTAAACTCTTCTTTTAATATTAAATTTATTCATATATTAAAAAAAGAGTAAAAAGGAAACTAATTAAGTAAAAATGAGTATTTGTATTATACACATATATCGCACTAGTAAATATATATATGTAACTTAAAAAAATTATTTGTTTGCTTGATCATTGCATGACAGTTCCATATCTATAGACAGTACTTTAACAAATTTGTTTTAAAAAATTGCTTAGTTTAATTTCAGACATCCTAAAAATGTTAAGAAACATAACCTATTCTTAATCATAACAAACAGTAGAAAGTAGTTATGAAATATATTAACGATCGACATACAAAGATGATGTATTACAGCTCTCTCGACTCATAACCTAGCCTGAAGTAAATACATCATAGTTGATTTGGGTCTCAACTGAATTGTTATCTCACGACAAACCAACACATGTTTTCTTTAAGGTTCTGCCAGCACTTTCAGACTTCATGGCCATAGCTCTGGGGCAGAAGCTTCAAACTGCTTAATGTCCAAACAAAGATAACAACCTTTGAGAATAAAATATACCTTCCATATTGAAAGGTAATAATTATTCTTGGTGTGAAACCGTGAATTTTGTCATAGGAAATATTTTCATATAAATAAGTGCACGAACTACAGTATCATTTATCTTCAACAAATGTTTGGTGAGAATATAGGAGAAAACTGTCAATTATAGATTGATAACGAAAGTAAGCTATTTTATACAAATAATACAGGGATACAGGGAAAATCTTAAAAACAAAAAAATTATGGAGAAATATTGGGCTGTGATCATTGTGCCTGTTTTCACTTTTGTTATTTTTATAATCATGAATTTCATCATTTAACTTTCTTCTCTCTTTACTTGGCGATGAGATTTTTTTCCATCATGGTAACATATGTTGTTTAATCCTTCAGCTGTGGTTGACATCATATGATGCAAGCATTTGGCACACAACATTTTGAATGGTCCGGCTTAAAAATTCGCCTTTGCCATGGGGTGGTAGGCAGATTTACGCAAGCTGAAAATGAAGGATTAAACTCTCTATATTCTGAAAATGGACAGGTTTGTTGAATATTTTTCTTTATACAATAACCTAAAAGGCATGCCAGAGTGAAAAAAGTGTAATATATTAAACCACTTTCATGTGAAGTTTACCCTAAATTCTTACCCTAGCCATCTGAGCTTGTATTCCCTTGGCTTGGAGTTTTTTAACTGCATTCTCTGCAGCCACAGGAGATTCAAAGTCAACAAATCCATAACCTACAAATATGTGACAAAGTTAGCCACAGTTTCAACAGAAGACTAACTTAAACTTTATGTTGTTCTACTTAATAGATTTACAAAATGAAGTCTTACATTAATATGTATTTCCTACTCCTTAATGTTAATAAAATTGTCCTGAAACCAATAACAATATTATCATTAGAAGAGGAGGTTAATATGTGTTAAATCACTTAAAAAACAACTCAGTCAACATCTTACTAATGATGCTGTGATATTTACCTTTACAACTATTTGTCATTTTATCCAGAATTGCCTTTGTTGATATAACATTGCCATAGCTGGAATTTAAAGAAAAAACAATTAAAAATGACTATCACTGACATTGGTACATTATTTCAGATCTAGGTATATATATATATATAAATATAAATCAAAAACTCCAACGTATATTTTACTTGTATATTACAATCCATTTCTAACTATCAAAATATTTGTGCAACAACACGTGAAATACATTCCTACAGAATAACTTCAAAAAGCATATTTTAACATCTTTTTTCAATATTCACACTTGTTCTTTACTGGATACCAGGAAGAATCCAATACAGATTTACTATATGACATTCAGCATAAGAACCCTATTATCCTGGCATGCATCACGAATCTTCAGTTGGCTTATCAAACAAGATCCAACAAAAGATGTACAATGATTTAACATGACACGCATCAAACTACTTAAGAGCCTCAAATTGATCTATTATGTAACATCCACTGATTCAGGGAAAATCCTGCATTGATTTAAAAAAAAGACGTTTCTATAATGTTTCATCATTTTGTCACGACACACGAAACACATTCTTACAAAATAACTTCAAAAAGCATATCTTAACACTCACATAATCAGAAGAAAAAAAACAACATCTGTATTGATTTATTATAAGGAATTCAAAAACAAATTACCAGATTAAATTTATACACACTTGAATCAGTAAACAACTTACAGGATTACTTAAAATGTTTATTTTATTCTCTGATTACTGACTGCGCAAGTTGTCACCACTTAAATTTTTGTCAATTTCTGATGTAATTCACTATTGAACAACGTACTATACAGCTTATTATTAAGCGAGCATCGTCAAGGTTTTTGAAAGCACTCATATTCTTGTTCATGCAAAGAACTTAGTAAGTGTATCAGATTCAATCTTATACAATAGCCTTCCATTAGCTAAGATTAGTGTCTGCACAATCAAACCCTTAGAAATGTAAAATTTTAATTTTCCTACTGAAAAGGAACTTTCCATGTACACTGAATGCTATATAATAATATAAAAACACTCATTTAACCAAGAATTTTCTCTTTTTTAAGAAATATTTTATAAAATGCTAGTTGTTTAATAAATATAGCTAAAAAACTAATGTAACTGTTTTTTCTAAGACATATTCTATAGTACTAACTCAGGAGATTTCCAAAATCAACTTTTTTTGAAACGCATCTCCATAAACACCTAACAAATACTTTTACATTCTGCTAATAAAAAGTATTTCTGACTATTAGGTTGTGTTAGTTATAAAGTAAATGAGTTTCTTTTTATTGTTGGACCAACTACCTTCACTCTTCAAATAAATAATAATCATGAAAGCATTTATCTGTTTTTTATATCTTTTGTAAATGTATTTCTTGAATTAATTCATTTAAGGATTCACTAATTGTTTTAAAATATTGTAGGTACAAAAACTTCAAAAGCCTCACAAATGCTAACTATATTTTTGTACAGATAATTTTATAAGTCATTAGAAACAATGTTATTTACGAGTAATTTTGTTCTGGTAAAGCTTTGGACAAAATTAAGAATAACCTTTATATCACTCTTTAATTTATAAAAGTTTAATTTTTTTCATCTATTACACACTTCCCCCACCCCCCCAAGAAAAAAGATATTTGAGAAAACACAATAAATAATAAAAGTCAACTCAATCCAAATGTGCATTTAAAAAGTTTTATTTCCATCAAATTGGTTAATCAGTTTTTTTTTACCTCCCAAACATCAACACATATCTATGATTGAACTAGAGTGAAGCTAAACTTACGGACTACAAAGGTTCAACAGATCTTTATCTGTTGTGCTATGAAGGAGACCACGAATAAATAGATTGGTTTGACTAAGTTGTTCTGTTCCACTGGACACTGAGTCAGACTGTGAAATAGAACTTTCTGCATTAGAACCAGATACTGAAGAGGAAGCTGTCATAACTTGGGTAGCAGAGTAAGCCTAAAAAAACAGAATATGGATATAAAAAAAAGGGAGACATTTTAAAACTTGTTTGGCTAATTTAATTCATTTTCGAGTAGTTCTGTTAGTTTTTCTAACCTCCACAATAATTAAAAAAATAAAAATGGAATACCTAGATGATGTATGACAGCTGTTAAATTTGTTATAATAAGTAAAAATAGCAAAAACTGAGATAAAGAAATAAGAAACCTTATTACAGTTAAATTTTACTTAGTTTTCATAACTTCTGAAAGAAAATCAAAACATCTTTAATCTGATTTTTAAGCTTTTTTAACAGATATTAAGAAAAAAGAAGAAGAAGAAAAAAAAAGAGGGAAACTTTTCAAATTGTGTACAAAAACAAAAATGTTGCTCTAGGAAATTTTTTTACTATTTCTACCAATAACTTTGATGACTTTAACCTACAATTAGGAATGGATTAGGATGAAAACCACATCTGGTTTGGACTTCAATCCAGATCTCTTGGACTGGACTTAAATTCAGATCTCCTGAAATTACTACTTCATCTTCATAGTACAATGACAATAAAGATGAAAGTTCAATTTCTACTTTCAATCTCAACATTAGGTTACTATAACATTTACTATGGACAGTAGTCCATTGGTTAATTATAAACATTATGACATATATACCTGTACGTATATGATTTAGTTAACTGACTCTATCAAGATCTAATAAAATGATTGTTGAATCTGTTACTGTTTTAATTGCTATATCAAAAACTCGTTTTTTTTTGTTTGTTTGTTTATTCTGAGACGATTACTGGATTATTAATTTTTGAAACAGCACCAAAGTAATGAAACTACATATTTTCATGCACCCCCTAGAGTCTATTTACGATAAACACAATTAACTATCAACTTGAAACGACTATCTAGAACTACAAGTACATGTTAGGTATTGAATTTAGTTATTCTCAGTTCAGTAGTTACCAAATTAAGTTTAAAGGGTATTTTCATACTGTTTTAACTTACTTGCACATCTCGTTCCTTTAGATCAAGTCGTACTTTGCGGTCAACAACAACCCAAACTATTATAACCCATGAATTACCTATTTTAAGACACCACGATATTCTGTGAGTAAGCCGTCTTAGTGGGTTAGGTACGATAATGAATGTCTTGCCAATATGCCTTCTTCATTGGTTATAATAGATTGAAGTTTGGAATGCTTCTGCCTGCGATGTACGGCTTGTTTATTAAATATTTTCATATAAACGTAAGTAGACATCGTTATTTCGCTGAAGACAGCACACTATGTAATCATGAAGACGTCTTATTTAGGTTAGACACAGCGAAAGCGTGGCATAGTTTGGGATAAATATGGCCATACTTGTAGTTCCGAAACACCAATGATACAGCTTAATTCTCATTAAATAATTTTAGTTTTATTTAAAAGATAAAACGATGGTATTTTCAATTATACTAATATAGTAAAAAAAAAATAAGTGGGTTAAAATGATATGAAAATACCTTTTAATTTGTCAACTACCGAATTGAGAATAATGAGCCGAATATGTAACCAACTTCTAGGTGTTCTTTAAAATTTAAATGCTATTGTTACGTCTCCGTTTGTTAATTGATTTTTCCTTAACTTCGTTCCGACGAAACTTAAGCGACACAAGTCTTTACTTAATAAAACTGGTTTATTCTTTCCGAATATAACTTTACGATACACTTAATTTCAATATTCGCGCTAAAACAAACACTATAACGAACGAACGTTAACTTCAACAATACGTCTCTCTCTGACCGCAGTTCAATTACTCATTACACACACATTCCATTACATTACCGCGTCACGTTGTCCCCTCTTATATATACCCGCCTACCCCATCTAGCAAACACTAGAGCATTCATGAAGAAACAAGATAGTTCTAGAAACGTGGCGTCACAGTGGTCATGTGACTCGCTGACGCAACACTATGTTAGTTTTCTTACACATGAAATACCTTTAAGAGCATAGAAACACCTGATGTTTCTTACTCTTCTTGGGAATATATCCACCTGACGAGTATAATCATAACCTAAGCAAAATAAAAAATCTCTACTAATTGTAGTACAACTGATGTACAGCCAAAGATCTTGCAGTCACAAGATGGCCCTTCCCATGCGTTTACAGGATGATTTGCTGTTTGTCTTAAACAGTTTCTCTAATATATATATATGTGAGCTATTTGTGACTGTGTGTATCCATTAGTGCCGTTACCATGTAACTTGTTACTTATTTTTCGATTCCCATCCTGGTAACACTGAGTTATTCACTATTAGAGTTGCCCCCGGTGGCACAGCGGTATGTCTGCGGACTTACAACGCTGGATACCGGGTTTCGATACCCGTGGTGAGCAGAGCATAGATAGCCCATTGTGTAGCTACAAACAAAAGACACTATTAGGATCGAGTCATCACACAAGGCATACGGGTGCTTCCACGTGGATGTATTCAAAGTTCACCGTTAGCAAAAGCGTTAATTCCGGGAACGACGCATTCTGATAAATAGAATCAAAACTTGCAATAACATGGACACGAAGGGGGTGAAACATAACCTGATAGGTTCAGGGTCGTGTTTACGCATAAAACCAACTTTATATATGCCCTTGCAATTCATATTAAATAACACTGGACTTCATAAGCTACATGTCAAAAGAAAAGCTTTCATTGAATTAAACATGCACTAGCATTAATAAAAGCACTTTGGAAAATGTGCTTTCAAGTCGACTTTTATACGTATTTACTTTCATACACTTTCATTTTTCTTCAGCTTCGGGTACGCAGATCCTATTTATAAATTACTAAACTTAAAAAATGAATTAATTTTAGATCAAAGAATTTTTCAAATCATCGTATATTTCATGGGTACTTATCGAAATATTTATATTTTTTTTACCCCCATATCATTATGTTACGACAGCGGAAGTCACGTGACGCTGGTTACACGTCATGAGTTTCTGGAAGGATCATGACTGTTCCTGGCAACTCTAGTGTTTGCCAGACGCCCTCTATTTTAATATATAAGCCCGGCAAATAAAGCGGAGAGAGGAAGTGATGGCATAGATAATGGCAGATAGATGGAGTTAGAGACAGATAATTGAGTCAAATGAGCCGTAGTGACCGTAAGTAAAATGCGTGAATCGTTGTGAATTATAGCGTGTGTTGAAGTTAAAGTGACTGTGGAAATTCCGTGTATTATAAAGTTGTATCGAGAAGTAATAAACTAGTTTTAATTAAGAAAAGACTTGTATCGCTGAACTTTCTCGGAAAGAAATTTTACGGGAAATTAACAAACGAACAGAGACGCAACAATTACAACACCGCAAAGTTTTGTCTTTTCTAGTATTGTATCACCCACGCGTTCGTAAATTACCAAAGATTTATTTATATTTTAAGCATTTTCGATTTCAAGATACTTGTTGAAGAAACCAGATGGCGTGTTTGATGAAACATATGTAGGAAAGAGGGAGAAGAAAGAGAAAATTTAAGAATCATAATAATGACAATTATATGCAAGTTCGTAACCTCTTTCGACACAAGTTTATTCCAATTTTAGTGCTGCGGGAACAATAAAATGACAACTGACTAATGTGTGCCGATCAAATGGCAAATTTTGGTTTACATACCTTCAAAAGACTTACACTAATATTTTCTAAAAGCTGCTTACTGAAAAAAGCCTCAACAAAAAATTATTACCATTAGTCTAAAAGGTTCACTTTTGGATAAATACAGTTACCTAAACAAAGTAAAAGTGAAGAGGTATTCAATTAGCGTTTAGATAAATGACACAAATAAAGTCATGTTAAAATTAATTAGTTTTTAAATAACTGACACCAAGAAGGATATATTAAACAGGTAAATGATACGAAGAAAGGTAAGGACAAGTATACATTAAATTTGTATTTAACTGATATGAAGATATGCAAGGAAATATCCATTAAGTGCTTACAAAACTGATATCAAGATGTGTAAAGAAAAATATTGTTGTAAATTATATTTTCAACGTTTTAATTTAGATGTTGGTTAGGGGGCGCATGAAGTTAAAATCTATTAAATTCGACTAAGAACTAATCATAAATCCGAGTAATCGTTCAGTTCATGAGTCTGAAAATACCAGTTAAAGTGAATTATTTAATGAAAAGTTATTGCATATATTCAGTTATTTGGTGAGTTGCGTTTTTATTAATCCAAAGCTGAGCTAGTTAAATTAAGTGTACATCTCGCAACTGATATTGAGATGTTGTATTTGGAGTTAGGCCTACATTTATCTGTGGAGTTATGTTGAAATATTTTTTGCCGTTTGGCCTAAAATTGTTTTTACTAGTGAACATACCATGTAGAAACGTTATAAAAGGAACATACGAATTTGTTATTGTTACGTGGACTGGACTTCGAATTATTTTCCCCAAGTAATCTGAAACAACACACCTGGACAATGGAACCATTAACCATCATATTTTCAAACCTACCTCCAGCTGAAGCACAGGGCAAACTGCATTATTACACTGTATATTCCTATCAGTTCTAGAATTATACCCAGAACAAAATGAAAAACTTGACACTTGAGCGGTGTAATAGTGTAATGTAGTATCACTGTTAGTGACGAACATGTCTGCGAACAGTAACATTCATGTATGTAACAGTTACAATAGCCACTAGTATAGGTACGATTATACGTCGTGATAGCGTATGATTATAACTATAAACGTTGTACAAGGTGTGTGAACATTGTAGGATCACACTTGTCTACACCAGTCATAGAACTAGCTATCACACGAGCGTTGAAGCGAAAACGAACAATGTTTTTCGAACAAAAAAAAAAGCAAATCTCGAACATACAATAAAATTAGTCTTCCACAATTAAATAAGTTTTAGTTATATTTTTAGGTTTAATTACTTTGCAGAGTATCTACGGCTAAGAATCGCTCGCTGAAGATGCGTATTATATTTCACATTATTATTGATCGCCTGTTTGAATGTGACACTCTGAA